CCCGCTGGAGCCCAAAAAAGGCCCCGCCCGGCCCGGAGTGGTCACCTGTTGTGAGGGTCCCCCCCCCCCATACCCCCTAAGCCTTCTGCCAGAACAAGTTCTGACTTTTGAAACGAAAGGCTCCCTGGGAAGAGCTTTCGTGACATCGAGGAGAACACCGTATACCATGTTGCACAGGACAAAGTTCAATTCAAGACCATGCGATGACAAGCAATATCTGTGCACATCTGCAACAGCTCTGCAGCATCTTAAAGCCAAAGAAATCCCAAACCTAAACTGCATGTATGACTCGAGGAGGTGTTTGCGGTTGTCGTGCCACCGCCGTGTGATGGCAAAAGCGGTGTCTGTAGATACGACCCACCGCACAGCAACGCCTTCCCCAGCAGGTCCAACCAAGCACTGACATCAGCTGAATTGGAATTCATGCACATCGGATGCACGATTAGCACCTGGCAAAAAAGTACACTGCTCACAGGCAACAGATGTATCACGAGGAGACAGATAAACCATTAAAGAAGATCGCCTGGAATTGTCGACCAGCCATGTCGTCCACACCGTCAACTCGCTCATCGTTCACTGCCTGTTCTTCATGCAGTCACTGACTCTCGGAAGCGAAATATCGCACTCTCTGGGTGCATGGCGCCAATCTGTTGCTTCCGTAAGTTTATTTGCGCTAACCTTAAGCAAGCAATAAGACTGGTGCTCGTCAGACTTCGACCCCCGAGAGACACAAAAGATGAGAGCACCACAGCGCAACTATGGGCCATCCAGTCTGCGCTAAGCCTGCCTTTGCATCAGGCAACACAACTTCATGGAATCTCAACGCCCTCTTGCACGGAAGCTAGGCTGTCCACGAAGGGCATGTCAAGAAGCATTGTGAGCACCTCGGAACGTCTACAAGTTCCTTCTTTTGCATCTCTTCGACTCTCTCAGCAAGGTAAGAAGGAGGGTCGAAGAGTGGAAGTGCGTCGGCCAACTTAGGACTGCACTGGCGACGCCAGCTGCTCCAAAGCTGCAAAGAGCTGCAGTAGGACCTGGAAATCCGGAGCGGGTGCCCTCGCGGGCGCTAGGGTGGACGAAGGCCTGCGGCTCATCCACGGCCGAGAACGAGAAAAGTTGAAGCGTCCTAGGAAAGCTCGGGAATGCTCGGGACGACCTCGGCCCCCCTTGTCCGAAAACTGTCCCTATCAGTCTAAGATTCTGGCAACTTTCCGAGACCACACTCATCGGGCGCCTCTGCTGGCTGAGGACAGCTCACGGCGGAAGGATGCGTTTGTTCGAACGCGGCCTGGGGTGCCATGGCACCTGCCGACATCAAGATCTGGAGGCCCGATTCCATCGTTGCCGACCTTGCGTTTCCGGACACGTTATCCTGGATGCTGCATGAGTGCATGCTCGCAGGAATCCGAGTTTGCTGCAACGCTTCTCTTGCTACAGGTTGCCACGGCCTGGAAATAGCGATGCTGGGGCTGAAAGGTGCTGCAATCTCAGCCATCGTCACTCAGACAGCCCAAGGCACACGCAGTGTGTCTTGGAAGATCTGTCGGAACTGTCGCTTGGTAGCACCTGGCACATCGAATGGTATTCTTGCAGACGGCGCTGGCTGACATGAATATGAAAGCATCAGGAAACGCGAGCTGGACGGCACTCCAGACCGCACTGTGCATGCCAACAGTGCAGGCGAGATCCTCCAGTGTCCTTCCAGCACGATGATCGCATCTGCTCGCGACCCGGTGAGAAGTGACGTGCGCAGCAACCGGCGTCCTCTCTTCGCCCGGCGCCTCCGGAAAGCAAAGCTTTGACATGAGCAACCAAGTGCACAAGTCGGACCGTACATCGAATTAGGCTGTGAGCTGAGACCCAGGTGCAGCATGAAGCGTTGCACTTTCCCGTCCCTGCGGCAAAGCCACTATACCCGGCAAAGATCTACCCGGCTGCAAAGCGTTCGGAGTGGTCTCCATGTTTGAAGAAGCCTGATGTGCTGAATGTCTTGCTCGTTCATCAGTCTAGTCAAGCCTAGGCACATCCACACCCAGACAGACAGACAGACAGACACACACACACACACAGAGAGACACACGCACACCGAGAATTCTAGTATAGTATGTATAGGCACCAGGTCACACATGCTGCCACTACGATCCCTTGAAACAGCGCAGGGTTTGCTGTTCCCTCCCGGCCTGTTGTAGACCTGGCGCGCTGTAGGTCCCGGGCCTGAGCGCGAGCAGGAAGGGCGTGTATTGGATGTATGTTGGATCACACCACCAAGATCCAGACGGAGGCATGCCTTGGCCTTGCCCGAAGCCTCCTAAACCTCCTCCCATCGGACTTGCTGGTCCTTGTTCAAATGCAGGCCCTGCATTCAGACCTCCCTGCAGCATCCCCGGATTCCCACCCAGATTACCGCCTCCGAACCCCCCGAAGCCTTGCGGCTGAGGCGGCGGGGCTTGTGGAGCCGCAGGAGCTCCAAACCCACCGAAGCCACCAAATCCCCCGCCGGGCAGGCCACCTCCCGAGCCAAAGGCGCCTCCTCCCGGGCTGGGCTGAGTCTGGGCACCGAAAGCACCACCCAAGCCGCCAGGCGCCATGGGAGCCGCCATGCCAGGCATGGCCTGGCCCGCTTGTTGCCCGAACCCTCGGTGAACGCGTCTCACAGAGTCTCTCGCACTCCCAACACCTAAGATCTTCTTAGGCGTGTGCCGAACTGGGCCTGCGTGCACAGGCAGCACAGCAGACTGCAGCAGCTGATCGATTGGGCACCTGCCCCGGAAAGGCACCAGGCTGTTGACCGGCAGGAGCGTTGGGAAATTGCATGGTGCGGAGGTCTTGCCTTAGTCGACAGGGCTCCCCAAAGTGGGCACCAAAAGCGCGACAAAACCGATCGGCTCGGGGTGGAGCAACAACGTGTTCGGGCTCGGAGCGCCTCCGAGCCCAACTCCCTGCAAGAACCGCAAAAAACGGCACCGCTACACTCAGTCGTCGTGAGATAACTACAACTAGCAGAAGCCAAGACCGCACCTGACCGTGCATCTGACCGTGCATCGGATAAACGAGCAGCGCAAGCCTGAATTCTTGCACAGAAGGAGCAGGAGCAACCCTGGGACAACAGTAACCTTCTTGGCCCGAGACCTAAGCCCCAAAGCAGAAGCCTGCAGACGGCAGGAGAGAACGCAAAGGTCCCTGTCCAGTCCAGTCATTGCAAGCCGTGCTGCAGAACGCATCGCAGCAGCTCCGGCCACCATTCTCCGTGGCCGCTGCTTCACGGCCGCGGAATGCCACGGACAGTGTTTTATTATTTCTGCCTGGGTTCAGCTGCATGGTATGGAGTTGTGGTATTGTAGAGACTGCGCTAGAATCTCGAGATATCTCCAACATTCATGCATGCCTATGCACGCGCCTGTCGCTCTACATCCGTCTTGCCGAACAAGCTGTCAAACAAAGGCACTAAAAGCCTCCTCACTTCAGTGTCGTGGGGGGGGTACATGCCAGATTTTTGCCATGATTTTGAAAAGCTGCGGCGGTCACTCTCGTGCTTGGCCACGGCATGCCACTGTGCAGCATTGGTCGTGCTACATCTTACCCTTCTAATGTATCCCTCTCGTCTTCCTTGTAGCAGCCCTTATAGAGTTTCCTTTAGAGCCGTCGCCTCTCGCAGTAGCCTGCTTTTGCTTCGATTTCGTCGAACTCACAAAGCCAGGCCCAGCGCCTTGCAGAGCTGCCTCGGCTGTGCACAGCGTCACAGCACTGCAGAACGCTCGACGTTGCCAACTCCAGAGCGTTCCTTTCTGAATTATTACAAGGGTTTCTACATTGGCTGTAAAGGATATCACAAGATATCACAAGTAAGGCATACAGTATCGGTCACTATCATCAGACCCTCCTCCGATTCGTTCGGATTGTGTGGAGAGTTGCTCTATCCTCCATTTCAGCGTGTCCTCGCGGCGCGGGAGCAGTTCGACAGCGTGGAACTAGAGACCGGCTCCAATGGTGCGACTGCATGGGAAGACGATGGTCTTCCAAAGGTCACGTTGGATTCGGCACGGGTAGTTTGGGTATGACGCTCGAGAAGTGGCTGGTGGCGTCCAGAGTTTGCTGCACGAGGAGCTCAAAAGAGCTGCCGAGCGGAGATTCGTGTGTGGCTGCGGAAGTGCCACAGCCCTGCATGGATATGGAAATCTTCCTTTTGCGAACCAGCTGCTCGAAGGCATCGCACGCCTGCGGTGGCCACAATTCTGAAACAACTTGTCATTTAGATATCAGCTGAAACACAGATTGGCAATTCACGCACACCTTCTGGAAGTTGCTTGCCGCGAGAGGGTTGTCTGGGTTCTTGTCCGGGTGCCATTTCAATGCAGCTTGCCTTCGAACAGGACAGCGTGCAACAAGGTCAACTTGCGAGCATGGGCATGCCACACCGCAAGAAAGGCACCTGTACGCCTTCTTGAGGATGTTCCTGTCCCGGGTGCCCTCCGGAACACCAAGGGCCTTAACTGTGCAGAAAACAAAAGCCAACTCACATCTGTGGATTGAATCGTGCTGTCACGCCTGGTAGTATGCCTTCAATGAACTCAGTGGTTTCATTGACGGCCTTTCCCAGGGATCTGGCGGAGGTCCTGGGTGATGCTAGCCGTATGTACTCACCACAGTAGGGATCTTGAAACAATGCGGCCTTTGCTGCGATTTCCCGAAGTACGAGTGGGGCCTGTCAAGACAAGGAATGACAGGGCTTCCAGGTTTTTTTCGCGGAAGCGAGAAAAAAGCCTGGACTCGGCTTGGCACGTCCCGGAGGCCAGAACTGGCCCATACTACCTGCGCACCGGCTTTCTTCCAGACGCAGTCTTTTTTGCAACATCGTACTCCCATGCAGCAAGATTCCGGCTGTGGCTCAACGGATGCCAGAGGCTCATACAAGGACTCATTGACTCATAGTACGTGAAGCACAGCAAAACGGAAAGCTGCACTGATAGATGCAAAGGCGCGCAGAAACAAGCTAAGGCACCGATGAAGAGCTCGAGCTCTTGCGGTGACCATTGCCAGGCATGACTCGGCAGATCCACTCCAGAACCTACGCTATGGCACTCACTGTGTCTTGACTCTCGGCTTCAGCTTCTGCGTTGCTTGCGATATGCCTGGCCTTGGAATCCTGGATACTTGGACAAGAGACTCCTTAGCCAAGGATTGGGGATGAATGAGGGGAGATGTGTCGTGATCAGAAACTCCTCACTGCTGTCCATGGTAGTCCGAGCATCTGAAGGCGTTCCGCGTATGTTTGGGGGCGCTTCGGGGCACCTCTCTTTCACATCACCAAGGTAACAGTGTAAGCACATTGACTAAATAAAAAACGAAGAGCTACCAAAAGAAAGGAAGCCAAGACACTCGGGGCAGGCTTGGGAGCCGGTCGAGCAGTGTTTGGTGCTGGCGCGGAGCTTGGCTGCTGTGGTGGAAATGCATAGTTTGGTCGAGGCGGCACAGCAGCTTTTGGTTGAGCACCTCCGCTGGCACTTCTGACAGTTACACCATGTTACACTGCAGCTTATTAGCCACACAGCCTAGGCCGAGCGTTCACGGCCACGCTAAGAGCGGTACTGGCGTGTGCTCGAGACTCCTGAGCCTCCACAGGATTTTTCAGCATCCATATTACCTGAGATCCATGAGTTGCAAGACCAGAAAACTGTTTGATAGGTCAGGGAAAACGGAAATGCACAAAGGAGGAGCAATGGAGGCAAGAAGGGCTCCGAATGAACGGGTGCCTATGCTAGTAGGTGCAAGGAACGTCTTTGGAAGAGGCGAAATCCAGCGCTGTCTGCCCGCTTGCGCTGCTTCTTGTAGTCTCGGCGCGGGCTTTCAGAAGCGTGAGCACCAAGTCCGGATCTCCTGTAGCTGAAACGATTCCTCGCCCTCTGCAACCGCGGTGCAACTGCGGTGCATCTTGATGCATGCAAAGCACCTATCCCGGCAGCTTCCATCAACGGCGTCTCATGCAGGACTGCATCAGAAGTGTTGACGGAAGCACCAGAGTCCAGCAAGAACTGTACAATGCCTCAGCTGGTTTGGTCTTGAGCACCAAACCCGAACCCAAGAGCGCAGTACTTGTACCTAGCAAGACTTAGTGGAGAAGCCATCTGTTCATTGCCCACCTCCGAGATTCATGCTGCTTGCACGGAGAGCCTTTGGCTTAGGCGTGCCGACGTTGGGGGAAGTCAGGGAAAATTTCTGCCTGCAACAAGAACCGTATCATAAGTTGCCCCTGTCTGGACTTAGTGGAATCCCGTCAACTTCTGATGCATAAGAAGGTGCTCATCCGAAATGCCTTTTTGGCATCAGCAGAAGCTCTGGCAGCAAGGATGAGCGGCGTCTCGCCGAGCAGGTTCGTTGTGTTTACAGCCGCAGCCCTTATTTGTCATCAAAAAGTAAGGGGAAGTGGTCAGAGGCTTGCTGCAAACAGACAGCGTGCGGACAAGGTACGCAGAAAGCAAAAGTCTGACAAGCCGGCGGCCATCTTCTGAATCAGGAGCTCTGGAAGTACATACATGAATCAACCCGGAGCCATTGGCATCTTTCCGTTGAAAGTTCAGGGCGACCTCTTCTGCCTTCGCCCGCTGCAGCAGAAGCTCAGCCTTCTGCACATCATGCTGACGAGCCGCGAGCCTGAGACCTCTGTCAAACCAGTAGTCTGGTGGCAAGGCGAACAAATGCCTGAGCTTCGCAGAATCCCTTCCAGCCCTTGACTGCCGCACTGATGCTGCACAGGAACCCATATGTTCTGCAGCAGAGGCTCGCCATGGATTGGTGCTCTGCTGCCAGCTGTGTTGCATTCAGACCACTCGGAGATTTGCAAGACGGGTTCGCTGCGTTCTCCAACAGTATTCGGCAGATGTGGGCTTGTCCCTGACCCGCAGCCTCCATCAAAGCTGTTTCGCCAAAGTTGTCCTTCTCGTTGGGATCAGCTCGATGAGAAAGCAGATATTGCACAGTCTTGACGTCACTTTGTCTTACTGCCTTGATGAGCTGCGTTTCGCCCAAAGCTTCGGCTCTGCCAAAAGCTGTGGAAGGCGAAAAACTAGTGAACGTGGGCTGGGAAGAAGGCTCTGCAGCCGGTGCCACCTTTGGGCCCCCGCTGTCAGCCTGGAAGGGAGGAGTTGGAGAGTTCTTGTGTCCTGTGTCTGGACTTGTCATCTTCCTCTGAGATGAGGCATCTCCAGCGTTTGACTCCATTGGCTTCTCACCCTTCTCTTCTTCGAGGTGGCAAGATCTTGATTCCTCCTCTACACGATGGCGCAACGCCGCAAGGGTTTCACTGTTAAAGGCCTTCAGCCCAGCGGCATGCAGCTTCTTGTTTAAACCGTGGGCCAAAAGCTCGGCCAGTTCGCGAACCGTTGTGGCACCCACACGCGACAGCTTCTCTTCCACCGCGGCAAGATCTTTCTCACTCCAGCTGGGGCGCGCATCGCTGAGCAGCTGCCGCAGTGGTGTAGGGGCATCCACATGTACCATGACAGCAGATGCCGAACTAGATCATGCTTTGCCACCAACCCTCCTTTCTTCGTGTGTATGTCTGTATGTACATATGTACGTATGTACGTATGTACGTATGTACGTATGTATGTATGTATGTATGTATGTATGCATGTATGCATGTATGTGTGTATGCTTGTAAGTTTGTATGTTTGTTTGTATGTATGAATGAATGTATGTATATTGCATTACATGCAAATATGTATACATCGGTTATGTACATGTAGCTGGTAGTGGTAGATGGTGCATATTTCTGTGAGTGAGTGAATGCCCACTCATGGAACTCAAGGGGTTCATTTTTTGTTCTTTGGCTTAGATGCCTGAAGGGGCTGACTCTCAACTTGATCGCTAATTATCGAAGTCCTTGCCAACGGGAGCTGTAAGCAGAATTCTCAAGTCCGCCTGAATTCTCATGAAAGAGTCGCAGTTAAAGTCGTGACAGCTGGAAGCCATGAGATCCAAGATGCTTCTAGACTCTAGACCGCACTAACGGCTGTGGGATCAGGTGCCTTCATCAAGTGCCGCACACTATCTGTGAGAAGACGGTCCCTGTCTGAACCCAAATACCGCATCTTTGCAGCTGGAGCATTGACCTCTGAATTACTTCGAAGGCTGAGGACTGGCGGCTGAAGTCTACGTTCTACATGCCAACCATAACAGGTGGCTCTTGCAGCTTTGGTGGGACCTTGCCACCAGCTATCCGAATCGATACCGAGGGTCGAGGCCAGTGCTTCGGAGCCAAGTGTCCAGAGCAAGTCCACTGTTTCACCAGGATTTCTCGTCTCGAGGGTCGTCAAAGTACATATTTAAAGCAAGTTGGACACAAAGCTGCAAAGCAGCGGGCTGCCGAGTGTCAAAGCCTAGCCGGGGACTTGCATTCCCCTTCCACTTCGAAAAGCAACCTGCAACATCTGCTGGCGAGTCTGAGGCTGCGATGCTGCGCATCGAGAGCTCCCGCCTGCTGCTTGCGCACCGCAGCCGCCTCGGAGATTCTCTGAGATGGCTCAACAAGCAGCTCTCCGAGTGTGCTGCGCTCACTTTTTCCGAAGCTCGGCGTCAACTCACCGCTTGCAGCTGCTCCTCTGCCATCAACGCGGTCTGCCACCCGGGAAGGGTTGCTAATGGTCCTAGTCTTGCAACTCTACGGCTCTGAGCTCTCATCGACTCGCAGGTGGACGCAGGTGTGGTGACAGCTGCAGGATTATGCAGCTATCCTATCCCGAAGTTCCGAAGGGAGCTGCTCCTCATTCTGACCACAGCCAAGGCGACGCAAAGTGAGAGGTTCGCCTGGAGGACACTTGCCGGCAGTGGCCCCAGCATCGCTGAGCGCCGGGGCTGGAGGCGACCCTTCCTCGTAATTGAGCTACACCCTCTTGCCTTAGCGAGTTCACATGACAAGAGCTCATGGACACAAGTCCTACCGTGCCCCCGCTACCACACGCAAGTTACAATTTCCTACAGACTACCACGGAGTACTGCTCTCCCGACAGGCACCTCTCTGCTCAAAGACGGCGACTCCAGCCAGGACGAAGCATGTCCCAACGAGAACTTCCTTGCCAGCACCAATACCGTTCAATACCGTAAAGCTGGTTGCCCAGGTTTACAAATGCGTACTACAGCACACTGTTTTGGCACACATCCCGGAACCTGTGGCATCCTCTCACCCCAGAAGCCCATTGAGAAAGCCAGCAGGATGATGGTATTGAGCTTCCCGATGATCTGCATGGAGCTGGCACCGAGCTGCTTCATGGTTGTCATACCCAGCACATTCAGAAAAGTAGCTGTGATGCAGGTCAGGAAGATCATTCGAGCGACGGAGGGCGTTGCGTGGGCAACAGCTTGATTCGGGCTCTCTGTCAGCAGGGCATAGACCACGGCCCAGGCCGTGCAAGGCGGGGCTTGCAGCGCCCAAACGTGCATCGGAGAGAGGGCCGAAGGCGGCGACACGGGCAGAGCCTCCTTGTCTTCCCGCTTGGGGCTTGGGCTCCCTGGGCTCCTGACCTGACCGACCTGACCTTCCAGGTCTACTTGGACTCCTTCCGCCTCTTTCTCGTAGGCCGTGGGCTCTAGCAGCTGGTCTTGCAGAACTGCCTTGGCCGCCCTGAGGAACACCGATGCTGTGCAAAACACAAGGCCCAAGGCAACCGAATTCACCTGTCCCCCTTGATCCTTCAGCTCCCCAGCGCCGATGCAAGTAGCTCCAAAAGTGGCCACACTGACCCCTATCCACCCGGTCTTGTTAATCCGACGTCCTAGACAGTGGGTCAAGACCGCCGTGATAATCGGCGCCATTGTCCCGATGATGCCCGCGAGTCCGGCTCCCATGTAAAGCAGGGATGTGTTGTTCAGCGCAATGGAGAGTGGCAGAGAAAGAGCAATTGGCAGAACGAACTTCGCGTAGCGCCTCAGGGAGCCCACCGAGCTCGGCCTGCAGCGATGAAACTGCTTCCGGCTGGCCCAGAAAGTCCAACTTGTAAGCCACATGAATATGAAGTGCAAGCTCGTGACCGTTGCCGGATACCTGAAGTTCAGATCGCCAGATCCCAGATCTTTCATGAGGAGCTGCGTGCAGACTAACGACAGGACGAAGCAGCATGTGCAAATCTGCGTTGCAAGACCACGTGGCTGCAAAATCGCCCAGATTGCTAGGAAAATGAATGTGGCAACCAGTACTGCCGCGACCTGTCCGACATCCAGCTCCATGGCAGAGTCGCCGTCTGCAATGAGCCGGAGTGGCAACGGCGACCATGCTGTGAAAGCTGAATCATCGCAGGAGGTTGGCCAGCTAAACCACGCGAGTCCCTCGCAGGACGCAAGCTTACCAAACTCCTAGGGATCAGGCATTGTCCCGCGTGACCATAAGAGCCCTCTCCTGTCAGAAGCAATCGAACGTTTCGCCCTCCCTACAGGGTCTCACCACTTGGGCCCGGGCATCCATGAACACCTCGCACACGCGCGCGCGCGCACACGCGCGCGCCCGCGAGCGACTACAACAATGATCCGTATGCTGACCGAGCAGTCGGTTGCTGAAGCTTCCTTACATAAATCCGCATACAGCAAGCCTGCAAGGATTTGTAGCCACCACCGACTCGGACGACCACATGCTCACCTCTTTGTTGAATGTAGACCTTTGAGAACACGTGGCATGCCGGGCGGATACATCGTAAACACGTGCATCTCTGCATCTGTGGACTCCACTGTGCCACGATCACCAAAAACCTCAAGGCCACAGTTCTGCCAGCTCTTCGCGGTCTGTACAGCTATATCGCGACATGCAACAGACCGCATGACAACGAATACATGGACAACGTCGACACTGCCCGGGCAATGTGCAGAACAATATCATCACTCAGCATTGCGCATAGTAGTTCGGTGCCACCTTCTGGATCGACCTCGCGGCATGATGCTAAGCGAATGTCATCTGCCAGCAGCTGCGGGCTGGACGCAACCCGCCCTCTGCAAGCAAGCGGCACAGGAAAGTCTGGATTGTGCTCCAGATACCTGCCATCGTTTCGATATACGGTCGTATGCCATATCGGGCGCTCACGCTGCAGGCACAATACAAGCCTGCATCTGCTGCTAAGGAAGCAACGTTCGGATCGCTGTGTCTATGGAATCCTCCTCGTCATCTTCTGCATATACCTCCTGTGCAGGGGAGCGGAATTGGGTTTCGCAAGCTTCATCCCTACCCAATCACCCAAACCAACGCACACACACACACATACACACACACAGAGAGCCCTCATACGAATGCACATGAGTGCACACGAAGCACCGACCCATGTACATATAGAATATACAGGTATAAGCATACTTATGCAGGGAACGATGCACCAGTTGTATGTCTACATCCGTTTGTATATGTCTGCATGTATATGTATGTATGTATGTATGTATGTATGTATGTATGTATGTATGCATATATACATATAGATACATACACAAATGCATAAATCTGTATGCATGCATGTATATACGTATGTATGTATGTATGCATGTATGTATGTATGTATGTATCGTATACACACAGGTAATGCAGACACATACGAATGCACATGCACATGGAGATGGACAAGGACCTGCCAATAGACAGACAGAGACAAAGACAGAGACAGAGACAGAGACAGAGACAGAGACAGAGACAGACAGAGACAGACAGAGAGAGACGCAGAGAGACAGACGGAGAGAGACAAAAAGACAGAGACAAACGGACAGACAGACAGACCGACAGACACACGCACTGACACACACACACACACTTTTATATACACACACACACGCACACGCACACACACACACACACACCCACACACACACACACACAAACACCCACACACACACACACACACACGCACGCACCCACACACACACACACATGTGTGTGTGTGTGTGTGTGGGTGGGGGCGTGTGTGCGTGTGTGTATGTGTATATATATATATATGCTCATATATATATATATCAGTTTACACGATCTCCACCACTCGCACACCTCGCTGAATAGCCCTGGATCGCAGAGTTCTTTTTCCTCGCGATCGAGACGTGGGACGTGATCGCGTCATAGATCGGATCATCAAAACTTCACTCGATCTTCACATGTCCGATCG